AAAAAAAAAAAAAAAGTAGAAGGAAACTTTGCTTGCATTCCAAAATTAAAAGGGTCAAGCTGCCTGGGAAATTCAAGTCCAAATTTTTACAGTATTGTGATACTAGCAGACTTTTCTGATTTTTGCTTATTTCTTCTCTTCTTGATACAAATATAAGTTATATAAGTTCAAACAATAATTTCTGTAAACTATAAGAGTGTATCTTCCCTTAGAGAAAATACCTAAAATGACTACATCATTTTTCACTGTCATTTTAAAACTTATTCCTCCCTAAGGCACAAAACTCTTTTCCTCTGAATTCAGTGATGTACTGACAACAAACTAGGGCAAGCCTCCTTCATGGCTTCCTTTCCTGGACCACACTCAAAATATGAGAAACAAATCTTAAAGAGGAGATTGCCATGAATTGTACATATTTTTCTAAATACCTTTTTATTTTTGGTGGCCACGCAGCAATAATATAAGAGTAGCAAATGAAAGTGACAAGGTGGAGGCGGATGTAGTCCCCATTTCATGGTATACGTATCTCTATGGAGTTCAATCAGAAAAGGGGGGAAGATAAGAACAAATGAACTCCTCTGTTTTGCTGGCCTGTTTTGCTAACTCTCAAAAGACAAACAATCACTGTGGCAATGGGACACACAGATTACTTGGGCAACGGGCAGTTGGCAGCTTTCCCTTACAAAAATTTTTGTTTTTCAGTGCAAATGTTTTTGATTCAAAGTTTTCAGTTTCTAAAATACCATAGCACTGATGAAGCATTTTCCCATGCAGTGATGGCTACCTCACTATGGAAACCAAGACCACCATTCAGTAAAAGCTCAAGAAAAAGATTACTTATCAGCTACAATCCTTCACACAGAAATATCTTTGTTCTTCTGTCACATTTGTTAAGATTCATTCTATGGGGTCTGAAAGCAGCAAGCAATGGAAAAGACCTATTTTAGGGCATCTCATCTGTCACCTGGAAACAAAGTTTTCTCCACATATAGGTAAGTATTATAAAAATATTTTTACTAATGCTTCTTAGGAATTCTGGTTGATACTTTTGGAAGTGTTGCTGTTTTTATCTACTAAGAGATTCTCATGAAAATTGGCCTGTCATACTGAGAGATGTGGATTTTAATATATTCACCCTGAGGAAATGTTGAAACTAGAGCCCTCCATCCCTTCCTACACATTAATTACTAGACTATTATATTAATGGAGAGCAATTAGAAAAGGACACCAAGTGCACTTCCCCTTTTGCAAGTATCCTACAAAAAAACAAAAACAAGAACCCTACCAAACATTAAAAAAAAGAGTGCCATCAATACATTTTGTACGGAACTTGATCCTACAATTTCACATCAGTTGCTGCCTGGGAAAGCTGCCTGGGTTTGTGCCCTGAGGGAACACGGAGGGAAGGAGGCCAGGTTTGGGATGTGGCTGGGATTAGGCACAATGTTGGTGCCAGCCACCTCAGCCCTGTCAAGATGAAGAGCAATTCTGGACTTGTTTAAAGGCTCTACAGAAGTTGAGTGGGCTGGCTGTAAAACCACAGATTAGGTCTATGGCTCTGCAGTTTTGCGGAAATCTCAGTTTAATGCCCCAAAGCTTTCTGGGATCTGTGGGGAAGCAGAAGAAGAGGAAGATCTAACACTGGACTTCTGCTGCTTCTGGCTATCCCAAGATGAGGTTACCTTAATGTATTAGTTGTTTTACCCAGTTCTAAGAAAAAATGCCAGCTGGATTGGTAGGTGCTGTCAAATTCCTTAGGAATAGGTGATGATTTAAGTTGATTAGGACAGTACTGTATTAAATAAAAAGTGCCTTTTCAGAATTAATTTCTCTGTGATCTGCTTATAGTACTTCACATATTTTTCAGTCCAAATCCACTAGTTCACTTTAATCCTGACATTTTAAAGCATCTGTTGTACACCGCAGTGCATATCTTCAGAGTCTCTCTGTTTCAACAAGAGTTTGAACTGCAATGGTTTGCATCCATATTCTGGGACCAGAGAAGGGCCATCTCCATCACTCTTCTTCTTTTTGTCATTAGACAAATAAATCAGTATTTCAGAACAAGATAGCTCCAGAGATGCTTTAGTTCTGTCATTAATACCTCAGGAGAAAATTTTATCCCTGCAAGCACAGAGGCAGATGTCTGTAATTGGACTAAGGGGGATGTCATTAGTATTGATTAAGTGCACAATATTTCTTGAATTGTCTGTTTAGCTTTTGTACAATAGATCTTACGAAAGAATGCACTTTGTGTTATTGGAAACTGGTAAACAGGACTGTTCTTTTGCACCTTCAAAATCAATTTTGCGCCTCATTATCTGCTCCTGTTTTAAGTAAATTAAATGATCCCTTCTACTGACTTCACGTGGAAGTGCCTGTGGCAGGCTTTGTTCTTTCTGGTGAGCCAAGCTCTGAGCTGTGTGTGGCATTAGCAGATGCAGGTGGCAGAGTAATCGCAGTCCCCTTGCACAACTGTGTGATACCAGCTCAGCATTGCCTTTATAGCCAGTAACACAGAATGGAGAAGGACATTTTCCCCAGTCCAGTCTTCTCATAACAGGCAAAAGACTGAGGGGAAAAAAAAAAAGAAAAAAAAAAAAAAGAAAAAAGAAAAAAAAAAAAAGTTGTAAAATCTCATCTCTTATGAGAAAAATGTGTTAGTGCAAGCCATCTGGAAGGCTGCCATGAGTCAGTCATTCGGTGAAGACATTTGAAGCTGGACAAAGAATGTGTACAGTGTATCCTGGAGACAAGGTATGCCAGAGGCAGGACCAATTCAAACAGCACTGCAGAAATCCAGGACTGACTTGAAGGCTATAAGGCAATGTAAGGATACAGAACAGTTCCATTTAGGAGAAAGACAAGACAGTTAAAGCATTCTGGCTATGCAAAATACATACAAAACTTTTCCAAGGAAGCACACTGGGGATAGAACGAAGGAATAAAAAATGCTTGACTTGTAGAACTACTGATGGCCTTTCACCCATGAGATTTGGAGCAGAGAATGATCGCAGGTCAACAGCAGAGAGAGGCTGATTTTACACAAAGGCAGTACACATGCCTAAAATATTACCCTAAGGTTCACAAAAGAGGAGTGAGTTACATTGCAGTTAGTATGGATTAATAGCACAAGCATAAAAAATAACTGTGCAACACAAGATACGATGTGCATTCATACCTGAGAATATTTAAAATATTCTCTTTATTTCTCTTGCAAATGCAAGGGAGTGTTGTGACAAGAAGCATCACCTCACTCGGCTCTTTTTAGGTACATAAGATTAGTTTCTTCCAAGGCCAAGCCCATGATCAAAGGGAATGCTGCACTATAAAAAGAGAACAACTGAGAAGAATGGAAGAAGAAGCAAGCAGAAGTTAACACATTTCTGAGCGAGAGTAGCCAAGAGAGTTGTCCCTGTCTCCTCTAGTTTGGAGGCAGCAGAACAAGAGAGGGATACTTATGAAAAACTTGCAAACTAATCATAATGTTAACAGACGTGTGAAATTTTGCTGGCTTGTGCTCTTCTGTTTGGTGGCAATCATGAGGAAAAAAATAAAGTTCTGTTTAAAAGAGTCGTTTTTGAGATGGGAATAGACAGAGTCGCTGCTCTGCCTACTGACCAGGGACAGGTAAAACAGAGGGGCTTTGGGAATCTACTCAGAGAAAGGGAAGCAGCAGTAATGTCTTCAGTGTCCCGAAGTTTAGGCAGGCACGTCAGATGAGCAAGCAACTTGCTCAGTGGCATATGAGGACACGGCACGTTTACTGCTTATGAAAAGAAGAGATACTAGAACAAAACTTCTAGTTCAGACCTGCTCCCAGATTGTGTACTCAAGCCTTAAGGTATTATTTAGCTTAATTATATAAATTGTTTTGTAAAACAGAACATGAAAATGGTATACAAATGACTGACAGCACAGACTATGAATGACTGCGTTGTTCTGGTGGATTAGGAGTAAAGGAAAGTTTATTGTGGCTAACACTTTCAAAAGAGCTATCTTTCAATTTCAGGTAAATAAGGAAGGATTGCATCTTATTTAGGTATTCTTTTAAAAAAACAGTTTAAGGTTTATGGACTTGTTTCAGATCCCAGGAAAGTTAGTGGTATGATTTCTATCCTTATTCACATACTTACATAAAGTCCCAAGTCGGCACTACTGAGCGCACTGGAGGAATGTTCAACACTGTGCCAAAGATTACTTTCATACCATAAGTATTAATTTTGCCTGTTAAATTGTTCTGAATTCAGAAGTGCTTTAACCCATCAGAGCTGCTAAATGCCCCCCCTCCTCTCCCTCTTCTTCTTTTTTTTTTTTTTTTTTTTTTTCTCCTACTTTATATTAATAAAATATGGTTGAGGGGATTTTAAGGGTAGATCTGAAAAGTCAAGATTTTAATTCCTCCTCTTCATTCATGTTAGGTCGTGTTTGTATGAAACTTTAAAGGTGCACTGCTTACAACTTCTTAGTGTTTTGAAAGCCTTTATCTACTTTTAAACACAGAACTTTTAAAAACAGAATTTTAAAGAGTAGAGAAGTTGACAAAAATAACTATGTGGGCTGTCCCAAACCTCTCTCAAGAGGGGATGGTTATAGAAAAGGTCTAAGTCCATGTTTGGTTGGTCATAAATTATATGCTGCATCCACCAGTTAGACCAGGAGAAATGAAGAAAAATGTAACCTCTCAACCCTTCATTCTCCCAACAGCTAAAGTTCTCAAGAAAACACAAACAGTTATAAATATTAATAATTCCTTTAGAGACTAATTTGGTGCTAACAATCTTATTATAGAACTTAGTTTTCTGCACTTGAAAGAGAGCATATGGCAATTTGAAATCAGGACTTGAAGGAACATATCTGTTAGTGTGCAAGACTTCTTGCAGTAGACAATCATATGCAGGCACAGAAAAGATGCTTTAATTTTGATTACAGGCATTGATTCAAGAAATGAAGAAGCAAGTTGTTATTGGCAATATCAAGAAATACATCGTCTTCCAATATCTGGGTTTCATACTGAGTTCATAACCAGTAGAGTGGGAGGTAAGTAGAAGAGGGAAATAATAGTTTTGATGTAGTATTGTTTTGAATCAACTGTACAGAAAACTTTTACAGCCAAGTTGAAGCCTCAAGTTAGAATTAATATTGCTCTTAATGACTGTTCTCAGACAAACATAATAAAATCAAAGAGAAAATTCACACCGGGCAGATGAGGGCATGTGCTCTGGGATGACATCTCTGATGACCTTACCACAGTGCCAGCAGATGACAAGTAGATGCAGGCATGCCCAGACAAATGGGGAAAGATTTTCCCTGTGCGGGTGGCATTAGCACAAGGGCAGTGAACTGCTGACATTTTGGAAGACATTTCTCAGAACACTTGAACTGACAGCATGTAGGTTGCCTTTTTATGAACTACAGAACTTAGTAACAGGGAGGGACTTGGCTTAACACAGGGGTGGTAGAGTTTCTTCAAACAAAGCTAGCCACGTAACACATGCCAGATGGAAGACTATAAACACATATATACTTCATCTAGGCCATTTTATAGCTTAAAAATTTATGCTGCCCCCTAACTTTGTGTGTTTCAATCAGTCACACTCTGCATACACTTCTCCGCACCATATTTTCTATCCGTACTTCTATGTTCCTTACTTGTCTCCATACAGTATTTTATTCACTGTCAGGTTTAAAGTGTTACACTAGTGAAAATGGCTGTATTTTTGTTCTTAGTATCTTATGGAATTATTTCCTTCTAATGAATATTAACTTCTAATATCTACTCTGTACTGCTTCATGTATAAGTCAAAAGCAAGTTACAACTGTGATACAGAAACTTGTTAACTGATGTTAACGTACATTGAGATGCTTGCTTTCTCAATGAACTGATGCCTTCATTAACACAGCAAAGCACAATAGTAATTAAAGTGTCATATTTCTTGGTAGTATAGTCCTACATCTTGCAGAGAAGTTGACTATGTCAGCTTACTGTCAGTTCGATATTAACATAGAATTTCTAAGCATTCTTAGAAAGAGTGGGACAAAATACCTCATAAGTGGTCGATCAATCCATATAGGATGGAAATTTAAAGGTATGCATTTGTTATTGTTTGAAAAAACTTAACTTTAACTAGGGGAATTGTAGAGAACTCAAGCAATATTTGTTTAGGAAGTAATAAATAATAAAATAATTCCACATTTTTAATTGCTTGGCTTTTTTTTTTTTTTTTTTTAATTGAAAATGTTCAAATATAAAAATTTCATAAGATTTACACCTAACATTATACAGCTAATGCTGAGATACACAAGTAATAGCAATATATAAACTCAGAAACTGATACTGGAAATAATTTGATTTTGGATATTTTGAAGCTGAGAATGATGATTCATATCCTTGTTGTTGACCTAAAGTGATGATTATAAAATTAATCAAATTCAATTTTTGGAAGAAACTATCCCATTATTTTATGTTTCTTTTGTTGTGAATATCAGTGGACAAACCCCACTCTTTTTCTCTCATAATGGAAAACCACTGCTTTCAAGTGTTAAAGTACCAGGTATATATATACCAGAAATTGTGGAATTCAGCCAGTGTACCCTAATGATCCACAAGCATGTGGAAACCAGCTCTTAAAGCTTTGGAGAAAATATCCCAGAGCCATTCTTAACTGATCTGCCTGTAGATTAGAACTCTCTTCATAGAGCAATCCAGTCAAATTGGTCTAACTCAAAATAATCAAGATGGAGACAAGCCACAGAGTGAATTCAGGAGCATTTATAATACAAATAATCTTCCTGAATTATCTTAAAAGGCTTTCTTTGGAGGGATTTATTATACTGATCAGCCTTATCTGCCAGATCTTATCTGGCAAGTTTCTCCCTTTAGCTGGCCACAGGTGGGGACTTGCAGCAGGACAATCTATTTGAGGGGATATCTGATTCATGGCACTTCAATGTCTGTGAGAATCATAGAATCATAGAATGGCTTGGGTTGGAAAGGACCTCAAGGATCATCAAGTTCCAACCTCCCTGCCACAGGCAGGGTTGGCAGCCACTAAATCAAGTACTAAAAAAGAACCTGCGGGAATTTTCATTTTAATGCTTTAGTATTTAAGCAAAGTCTTACAATATTTACCATTAAGGAATTTAATACCTTTTAACAAATGTAAGTTATTCTCAATTTAAACATGCTTAAAATAAATTGGATGCTTCCAAAATGCAGTTAATTACATTTCAGAACTGCAGATTAGAACAGTAGAAAGGAAAGACCATGACATTAAAAGGTACAGGGCCAAATTTTGGCTCACCAATTCATTCAAAACTATTAAGAGAAAAACAATTAGCTACAAATTAGCGCCACAACAGGCTAATAAGCTTAACAGAATCATTACAAGTTAATATTGTCCTTTAATCAAATCCCTCCAGCAAAGTGATATACCAAGCTATTCTGTACACTTAACTTTATTCCTGACTTTTGAAAATAGCAATAAGAGAGAATATATACCATGTAGAAGCAACAACCATACCATGCCTGAGCAGTGCTGACTGCATTGGACCGGCTGATATACACACATCTGCAAGTGGTGACAGCATTTAAAGCTGGCCCTGGACAAAAATCAGTGATCTAGGTTAATAAAATAAATAAATGAATTAAAAAAAAGGGGGGGGGAGGGGAGCGGGGGGAGAACCAGCCAAGGTATTCTAGTTGCTGCAGTGATCAAAAGCTTAGAATTTTCAAAGCATTAGAACAAAATGAGAAGGCTTGTAAGCAGTAGTTTTTCTCAGATTTTAATACAAAAACTGGTTTCTTTTTTCTAGTTCAATGTGCAAACAATTACAAATCTGTATAAAACATGCTGGTTGTACTTTTTGATATGCAGGCTTATCTGCAGCAGCTTTCTGAGGCTATTCATGCAAAATACACTGACACACCCAACACCTACCCTGATGCAAAGAAATAAATTTGTCCACTCCCATTCCCCAGCCTTTGAAAGGAACACCCTCACTCACCCCAGCACACTGCTGAGCCAGGCAGGAACCAGATACCTGGCATGGGATAATGACTTATGGCTGTTTGAATCTAATTCTCATAATCCACATTTCTATTTTCTTCTTTAGGGCCTGCAATCCATTCTGGAGAAGCAAATAATGAAATAACCTAACATGACAAACCCATGGCCTACTCCAGTTCACTGACCAAGGGTAATGTTTTTCCTAGTTCTTCCAAAAGGCAACAAGTTCAAGTCCCCGGGACACGGTTAATTACTGTCTGTAAGCATACAGCAGCAATTGGTTTATCTAAAAATGTATTGGCAAGCTGGCCCATCTGTTGCCTTTCTCTCTGCTTGCTGCTCCCAAGGGAAAGAATACTTTAGATTTTCCTCTTCAGTTCAGACAGAATCCTCTGGAGCTCCAGGGTTGCATGCTGCTGCTCTGAATATCCATGAAGTGTCTTAGGGTGAAAACATACGACAAGGGAAGTACAAACGTGCTGCAGCACTGCATATGCATACACACAGAGTTCCTATTTGAATAGCCTCTATGTAGAAATGAGATAGATATAAAGGGAAAAATGCACTGGCAGTCTAGACTCATATGCATTTGTCTGGCTCCAAAATTTTTGTGAGTGCATTAGCGTAGAGCTGAAAAAAGTTTTCCACCACAAAATTGCCTACAAAGAATTATAATTTTTTGTAAATATCAAATCACTTCTCCTTAACTGACTATTGCAGGGGCTAAATTCATGTCTTTTTTTCTTTATGGAGGGAGGAAAGGAAATGGAGCTTAGGAGATACACTCGTTTGTCACTAGCAATGAGACACAGACAGGATGCATCCCAGGAGTTCTGGGTGCAGCCTCCTTTCAAATGGGCATTCCTGTCTGACTTATGCAAAATCTCAGTGAGGATGAACTGAATATGTGAACGCACAAAGTACTGCTCCTCTTAGACTTATGCCTTTATCCATAAGATGGCATGTCATCACTGTACAGCAGAGAGTGCCACCAGAGGCACCCACTAGAGATGTGAGAGCTTGAGAGGTTGCTGCGTGCCAGAGACAAGATGGGACACCAAAAATTCATCTCATTAACTCCAAAAGACACCAAGCCACAAAACACTGAACATAATAGAAGGAAATATTTGGCATATTTCCATCCTCTCCCTAGACCTCAATCCACTAAAAGCAAGAGGAGAGAAAATACTGCCAATATCATGAGCACTTGCAATGGCAGAGAAGATGAGGCACTGATAAACCTGTAATATGGACCATATTTTGTATGTTAGACAAAGTGGAAACAAACATAAACAAAAAACAAATTCAGTAATCCTTGCCTAATCCTTGCCATTCGAACCTGGGTAAAACATAGCAAATAAGAAGACTTACAGCTAACCTATATTTAATTTGTTCCTTGTTCCTGTTCTGTACATTATTATACTCAGTTATTGTTGTTTACAAATGACAACTAAAACATGTTCCCAAGCACATGCACTTTACTTGCTATGCTATCTACAGCTACAATGTTGAGATATCTCTCCTCATTATTGTGTATTGAAGTAGCCCTGGGAATTTAGAATAGAAAAGCAAGCAGCATCCAATTAGTCTATCAAAATCAATGTTCCAGATTAAAGTAAACTTTTCATGCCTCAGGTATCACTTACAATTCTCTTCAAGAATGTACTGAAACTTCTGTCTGTTTGGATGTGTTTTTTTTTTTTTTTTCATTCTGAAAATAACAATAAACAAATGAAACATCACCTGGGAAACAAATCAAGCTGCCAATGAGTTCTCATGTGCACATGGCTGATTCTGCCCTACTGACTGCATTAAAGCAGCTGCTAACACATATTTACTAACACAATGAATGTAATGCATAGTTTGAGAATATTACATGAAGTTCAATCTGGTTAAGAAAACTTTCTTAAACTGAACATTTTATTATCTTTTGCAAGGATTCCAAACCATCCTCTGCAAAAGTATTCATGTGTGAACAATAGCACAGAAGAAAGAAAAAAAGGCCCACTATGACTTTTATTTTAATAATTGCTTATTTTCTTTAAAATCTGAGTCACGCTTTTTGTTACGTGAATCTCATCTGATATGTTCCTGTCTCTTGATTATTTTGTAGGTAAACAGCAGAAGTGGAGAGAAAACAGTTTTCCACTGGGAAAGAAACCAAAACACATCTTTGGAAAAATGTCTTTAGAAGAAAATAAAAACATAGAATCTTTAACAAAAAATGGTGGTAAAGTAGTCTAAAAAAGCTACACATATGGAAAAAAGTATGGACATCATAGCAGGCTTGGATGTCCCCTGTAGATGTAGTTATTTTATTGCTCATCCTATAGGTTTTGTTTGGATATTTGTGCTGCATTATTCTTATGGTTTCTTTCTGCTTTCTATAAGTTTCCATATCACAGAATTACTTATGATGGAGAAGGAAGATAATGTCACTCCAATTATAGGAAATAACCAGGAGTTAGGTATCATCCACAGGTTGCAGGTAGGTAGATCTTCATTCTCGCACTCTGGAACTGCACTGCCAATCACTTGAAGACTTTATTCTTTCCCTCACTAAACTGTGGAAGAACTGGGTTCTTCCGATCTCTCCTGATGAACTTGCTCCCTTTTCTATCTAGAACTTTGAATTGAGCCAAAAGCAGAATGAATGATTATCACAATGGAATGAGTATTTCAGTCAGAGCCTAAACCACTGCTGGGTATTCCTATGGTGGAATCCTAGCAGATCCCTCAGCAACAAAATTTTTCACTAGGTCTCTAGAAAGAAAGAATGTGTGGAAGGGGAATAAAATGTTATCTAAGCAGACATCACTGAAAAGTCCTGCTGTAAAGCATGGGGGTGAGGAGTGTACAAATGCCTATTACAAATGCCTACAGTGTGCGAAAGAGGTGAAATTTATCAGCACTCCCAGACAGCCCTGGAGAGCTGACACATGAATACAGCAGGGAACATGGTTCTTTCTGTCCTCTGTCACCTCTAAGATTTTTTCAGAGCCATTTATTTTCATGTTTCTGTCCTTCATGAGATAGGCAAAGCATTAAAAACTGTGATGCTCCATTTATACTCCTGGTTGTAAAACAAGCTTCTGCTCTGGTGTGCACCATGCTCAACCTGGTCAAGTTATCTGTAACAAATATTGTGGTGTACAGCCATGGTAGTTTCTTGATAAGGTTAAGGGAAAAAAAAATGGAGGCTTCCCAATACTCTTATGCATACTCAAGTTTTCATTTGATGAATATTATTTTCTGAATCTAATGTTTGGCCTTGGGCACCACAGAAGCAGGTAGATGGTAAATAATTTTGCATAGCACACAAATACTTTCATCAAATGCTGACATGTCCAGCCTGCTTATGTGTACTTGCATAAGTTGAAATGTCCTAGGATAGGCTCTAGTACAAGAACTTGGATAAACAGAGCAGCCATCTGTCTCTAACAAACCAAGAAATAGCAGCACTAGAGATTACTGAGCTGCTCTGTTGATGCCAAATGCAGTGTCAAAAGTTCATGCCCAATCTTGTACTTCATTTAATTCATTGATGAATGATTGGGCACAAGGGAAAGGAGAAATATGCTATCCTTCAACTGACAAAGAATAATGTAATATTTCAGAAATAATTAGCACAGGGAACAACATACCCACCCAGATATACTGGAGAATAAACCATTCTTTCTCGCTGGCACTGGAAATTCAGGTTTTTCTTTGTATAGACTCTTCTGAGTGACCAAACAGTTTACGGGCATACCAACAACATGTTGTATAGGTGCTGAGTTTGGGATCAGTGAGCCATTCAGCTGGAGAAGTACTCATTATAATTTTCTGCCTATTTTTGCCTATTTTTAACTCAGTCACTCAGAAAAGATTTGGATCAGATTAATCCTAACCAGTAATTTACTGCTTTACAGCAAAAGGTAGGTAGGTAGACATCTGCTTTACACTGCCAAATAGGAACACTTCTTATCTTAATGACTCTTATCGTCAAACATGAGTGGTTATGCTTAGAGCCTGCATACAACAGAGACCACGCCATCAGGTTCCAAATGTCAAATTTACTTCATTTAGATTTGCCTGCTAACACTGGCAAAGTCAATACTAGTAAATTAAACAGAAAACCAGGGGAGGTTCCCAGGCAGTGGAACTTGATAACCCAGGTTACATTGTCCTCACACGGTTCTAGGTTGGACTAAAGATCAGCCTCTCAGATGATCCCCAGATACTATTCAGTAGCTAATATAGAGTAAATTCCAATACGGAGAGAGTTTGGATGCAGGTGACACATTCTGGAGTATAATAATATGGATAGAGACCATGCAGTTAATGTTGGGGTTGCACAAGTCCCACATTTATTTATTTAATTTATTCTTACAGATGAGAAAAACAGTGTCCAATGAAATAACACTATGCTTTTCTTTATAAATAGTTTTGCTATTACTGAAATCTCATGAGGCCTAGAGCTAGTTTGCCATGTTTATAGCTGGGAGGGATGCACATTGCACTTATAGACTGCATAAGAATGCAAAACCATCTTGGCAAATTTGAGAAACGTATTCTGAGAAAAGAAAAACAGAGGCAACCAATCTAGTCTAGAAACCTCATCAAGAACAATCAACTGTGCCAGTCCAAGGTGAAGTACAGTGGTCAAGGAAGCAATTTAGAAGAAAAGGACATAGGTCTTACAAAAGATGACAATCAGATGTGATTCAACAATGTTAACAGTGTGAAAAGCGCAAACAGTGTCTTTATGAGCAGGAAGATGCACAAACTAGTTTTACTTGGCTTTGGTAAAACTTCAAATATCTCACCTGTATTGGGGAAATTTAGGGATTTCCCTTCTTCATCCTCCTTCCTCCTCTTTTCAGACAATTGTGGAGCAAGTGAACAAAGTCTGGAGGAGAAATTAAAAAAAATGGCTAGAAAACAAAAATGTCTAGAGACATGACCTATGTGCAGGTGACAATCAACAGTGCTCAGTTTAGAAATGAGAACAACTGAAGGACTAACAGTCTTCAGATATGGAAAAAACAGCAGGAGGGGAATAATCTATTTTCCATATTGGCTTTAAAAAGGACAAAGAATTATGATCCTCTTGCGTTGTCAAAGCAGGCTGTCCAAAGAGGCTGAGGATTTGTCCATATTAAGGGCAAGTTGAGCAGGAGCTGAAGGGGGTGGCATGAAAATCTTGAATTTTGGTTGGAAGCGATGGTCTCTGAAGACTCCTTCCAGTCTTATGTTCTTTGATTTCCATATGTTTTCCATCATTAGTGTACAACTAAAATAACCCTAGAATTAATATATGACTCTCTTGTACCACTCCCATTTCTTTCTGATGATTTCTTACCTTTTTATTGAGGGAGCCCTTTCAATTTGCTAATTCTTTGAATACTCGATATTCACTCTTCCCAATTCATTATAGTGTGTGGTTCAGACCACAAAATCTCTAGCATATAGCATCCATAGTTGATTTTCAGTTTGATATTCAGCTTTCTCGGATAGTGCAGTCAGGCCTACAAATACAGACTTATTTTTATGAATTCACATTCCTGGCATTAACTTGGTTCTAATTTTTTAATCCGTCAGTAATCAAAATTCATTCCTCTGCATGTGAATTTATTCTCTATATGGTGCTTAGAAATTCGCCTACAAACTTACCAGAGGAAAGAAAAACCTGATAAGTTGTTCTTCATAGATCAGGTTTTAATTTTGGTTTCACACAGGAGACAGGAGGAACTGGGATTATTTGAAAGAGATAGATAGATGATAGACAGATAGCTAGCTAGAGAGGGAGAGAGAAAGAGAGAGAGACAGACAGACAGACAGACATATATTTTTCATTAAAAAGGTAGAGCCAGTTACGGTCTAAGCTGCTCAGACTTTGCCTGGTGTCCCTCTTGCTGTATGATTCTGTCAGGCACAGGATCAGCAAATCAAGCACTTAGGTTTTTCTGCTCCTTATGAAGCAGTAACATGAAGATAACCACTGAGAAACAGCTGGACTCCAGACAACTGCTTTTTCTAACCTTACCACATTTGGCTATATCTGTTGCAATTGTGATTGACTCCTGATAGCTTCTAAAAATATATATTTTTATTTTTATATTAATAAAGCTTCACTCTGGTCCTACAAAGATCCTGGAAGATATAAATCTGATGTGGATCAGCCTCCAATGCAGAAAATTGTATATCAGATATAATGGCCTCACTTAGCACTTCCTTGTGGTTCAGCATTCACTCCATGGCTTCTAAGACAAATTACGGTCTTTTTTTCAAGAACTACTTTTTGCTATTACAGTCTCTTCCAAGTAAAATTTTTTGAGTTGTGGAAAAGTAGAGTGATTGATTTATGGCAAGGCACTCAGGAGTTTCTAGTCTTACTACTTGATTTCTCTTATATACACTGTGTGATTTGGGGCTAGATCACATAATCTGTCATATCTGTAAAACAGGAATAATACAGAGTCTCCTTGTCAAGGGGGGTTACAGGGATAAATTTATTACCATAATGAAACACGCAGATACTACAGAGCTAAAAGCATTGCAAGTATAAAGACAGAATCTTTGCAATAGAAGTTGTATGTACTAAAGGGCAGAACCCTCTGTTCATTTTCTGTAGAAGCTACTTTATTTTTCATCAACCAGCAGCAAAGTTCAGTTTTTGCTAACATGTAGTCCTGCCTTTATTCTCTCTTATTCCTAAACCAACAAGTTCCTGCATATTTCCTTGTACTTGTTTTCAAAAGCTCTTGACATATTTTGCTGAAGAGGCAGGCAGCATTTTGCATAAAACAAGTATATTCTTTTGTTAACAAAAGAACTGCTAATCAAGCTAACAGCCTCGGCATTCAATAGGAAAGGACTTATCCTCAACAAAATTTGATCTCTGAAAACAGTGCCTGGCCTCATAATCAAGTTACCACTACTTTCTCTGAGTAAGCAGTGAAAACTAGAGACTCCTAGGAACTGCTGAAGCTTCTTGAAAGTTCTCTGAAAGACTCTCACTTGTGACTTCCTTATACTTCTTTCAATATGTTCATGTAAATTGAGCAGGTATCAAACTATGCCGCAGGCATTCTTCCCAAAGAAGCTTGTTCACCACTGCAGTAGAGGAGGCCAACTCCTCCAAAGTGTCACTTCAGGCTGTTGCTACCAACTGC